CTGTTTTTATAGTTCTTAAAAACTGTAAAAACAGTTCTTTCATTGTGGGCTATACCAAAAATGGAGTTGTAGTTTGATGACCCCTGTACTAGACTGATGAATTTCATTGCTGTCCAATTATGACTTTAGTGGAGAGGGTTTTTATATTTTTAGTATAACATGGCCACTGACCAAAAAAGTGCCATATTTGAAACAGATGGACCACCTTCCCCTGATGAATATCTACAAGAGAAATTAAAGGCCCAACACTGAAATGTACCCTTTCTTTTCACCACAGAGAAATTAAAGTTCTTGTCCCCAAAAAGAATTAAACTTTACAATTTTGTTTTTCACGCTTTTGACTATTCCGTTTTAGCCAGAGTTTGTTTCGCTAGAGTGCAGTGGCTTGATCACAGTTCACTACAGCCTCCACCTTCCAGGCTCAGGCAGTCCTCTTACCTCAGCCACCCTCCTGAGTAGCTGGGACTGCAGACATGCACCACCATGCCCAGCTAATTTTTGTTTGTTTGTTTTAGATGGAGTTTCGCTCTTGTTGCCCAGGCTGGAGTGCAGTGGCGTGATCTCAGCTCATTGCAGCTTCCACCTCCCAGGTTCAAGCAATTCTCCAGCCTCAGGAGTAGCTGGGATTACAGGTGCCCACCACCATGACTAGCTAATTTTTGTATTTTTCATAGAGACAGGGTTTCACTGTGTTGGTCATCAGGCTGGTCTCGAACTCCTGACCTGAGGTGATCCACCTGCCTTGGCCTCCCAAAGTGCTGGGATTACAGGCGTGAGCCACAGTGCCTGGGCAATTTTTTAATTTTTTGTAGAGACAGGGTCTCACTTTGTTGCCTAGGCAGGTCTCAAGCTCCTGGACTCAAGTGATCCTCCCATTTTCAGCCTCCCGTTTCAGTTGTGACCCACCACACCCTGACAGCCTAGTTTCATTCAGTTGCTGCAGCTTGAACCATCTTCCACTGGAACACGGTTGTGTTGTTTTCAGCAGTTCCAGTTAAATTAATTCAGCTTCAATATTCTCATGTACTTTGCTTTGCAAAGTTACAAAGGATCTATAAGACAAGAATATTATCATACCAGGCCTTGTTGGGGAGAAACCCCACAAGAGCCAAGGCGAGAGTCTGAGACCTCAGTCTGTTCTCATATAAATATTGAATTAAAAAAGAATTAGCGATAGTTACATAGTTATTCCTATAATAATCACATAACTATTCACATGTAATCATAAATATATACATTTATACAATCATATAATCTTTAATTTTATTAGTAAGTCTCAGGTCATGAAGTATGGAACTGAAGTGGCATTGGGAAAGAAGTGACCCTGAGGCAAGATGCTCTAAGCCCTCCTTCACGCCCGCATAAGGGCTGCTGGAGGGCGCCTCGGCTATGCAGCAGCGCCAGCGCTGTGAAAGTGCCCACTGTTTAACCAGCTAGGGAAGGAGATGTCCAAAATGGCTGAGACATCTCCTTCCTCGGGGGAGTTAGGAGAAAACTCCGCTCTTCCAAGCCCTTGTGGTAGCCCTGGCAGCTATCAGGGAGGCCCCCGGTCATCCAGGGGCTTAATTGTCTCTATGTGATGCTGTGCTTCAGTGGTCACGTTCCATGTCTACTTTCATGTTCCGCTTCTGCACTTGGTTCCTCTCTTTAAGATAAGAATTAGTAATAGTAACATAAATGTTAACATCCCTGATATTCTTGACAAATATGAAAAAAGTTAGGTTTTCTCCTTGCCTCGGCTTCTTGAAAATCCTGAGCCCGTTTCCAGGACATGTGATTTACCTGACCCTATCACTGACCACCATTACCTCACCCTACCTATCCTGCCCCCTGCTTTGTACTCAATAAAAGTCAGAGTGTCCAGGCACTCGGGGCCACTGCCAGACTCTGTACTTTGGTTGGCAGTGGATGGCTGGGCCCAAACTCTCTTTTCTCTATCTCTGTGTCTTGTGTCTTTATTTTCACTGTTTCTCGTCCCCACATCTGTAGAGAGGGACTCACAGGACCCTATAAGTCCTCAGTCAGAAAATATTGTCCAAGTAAAAGTTATTCTGTGACTAGCTATGTTATCTGGTAGAAAGGGGGAAACCTAGAAAATAGAAGAAAAAGTTCTTGGCTTTAGTTTTTCAAGAATGATTCTTATCTAGAGCGTATGAACACCCATAGTCTATGAAAGTAAAAATTAACGGGAGAAATCTACCATGAGGAGGTTAATTATTTTACATATGTTCTACATATAGACTGACTCCTGTATCAGAGATTTGAAACATCTCAGTCCTCTGAAATTTAAAAATTTGTGCTCTGATGGCACTTCCAGTCTCATCTTACCTGAGGTTCTTTTTTTTTCTCTAGTGTCTTTGCATATACTTAAAGTTTCCCTATTTGTATTTCCCTATTTACCATTTATTACTGGTATCAGCTGCAAGACTTTCTAGTAGGCCATTTCTTGGTTACTGAATACTGTACTCATACAGTGCTTGACATAGTTTAGATTTATTGAAGGAATAACTAGAAGTAGACTATGTAGGGATATGTCTCTAAAGTTATGGTTTTCTTAGTTGCTGCCACCTACTCTGGAATTTCGTAGGTTCCAGTTTTCTCATGCTTGAATGATACAGAACCCCCTTTACCAGCAGTAGATCAGACAGCAAGATATAGAGCCCCCTTTAAAGGAAAAAGAAACAAACAACGGAAGGGCCCTTCTTTATGGTGTTTTAATTAATTGTATTTCATTTTTTCAAATTGCTCTAGCTAAAAAAAATGCAAAAGTAGAAATATGTTTGGGAAAAACACAATGCAGAGATTGGTATTATCTCATATAAAAAAGTCATTGCAGTCCCAGCGCAGTGGCTCACACCTATAATCCCAGCACTTTGGAAGGTCAGAGTGGGAGGATCACTTGAGCCCAGCAGTTCATGACCATCCTGGGCAACATAGCAAGACCTCATCTCTACAAATAATAAAAAATTAGCTGGGCATGGTGGGGTGTGCCTGTGGCCCTAGCTACTTGGGAGTCTGAGGTGGGAGGATTACTTGAGCCTAGATCATTGAGACTGCAGTGAGCCATGATCACACCACTACACTCCAGCCTAGGTGGCAGAGCAAGACCCCATCTCAAAACAAAAAAACACAAAACTCATTGCAATAAAAATTGCTTTTGAAAAAATTTAAGAAGTGGGAAAATAACATTATTTTTGGGGTTTTGTTTGTTTCTTAGGTTTTCATTGCTCAGTCCCGATCATCTGGAAGTCACCGAGATGTTGAAGACGAAGAACTTACAAGAATCTTTGTTATGATACCAAAGTCCTACACAGAAGAAGATCTGCGGGAAAAATTTAAGGTACTTATGTTTTCTAACCAGTTAGCATATGTGATAACTCACAGTCCTACATAGGTTGTGTTGGTACTAAATCTGAAGTGTTGTTTGAATAAGGTCAGTAGAGTAGTCATGGGGAATTACGTAACTTTTCATAATTTTCAATCTACTCTTTAAATATTAAACCTAGCATAAATTAGTTTTTAAAATTACAGATTATATAAAATCTGAAAAGTAGTAATTGTAGTCTTCCCCTGCTTTATTGTGACAGTAGAGAGTCACAGAAATGAAGTACAAAGCTCAAAGACTTTTAAGTAAAGTCACAGCTAGTAGGTGGTAGAGCTGTGATTTTAAACCCAGACTCTCGGAGTCTGGAGCCTGTTCTTGGTCTTTAAAATTTCAAAGCACTCTCTTATCACTCCCCTCTATTGCCTGGCATGTGGAGGTGAATCAGGCAGGCCTGAGTGTGTGAACTGTGTTGTCTAGTATTTGTAACAGGCCTATGGTGTGTTGATATGGTACTACTCATTCACAGAAAGTCTTGTTCTTTGAAGAATTTTCATCCTAAAATTGGTCCTTAGAAGGAGTTACATATAAAGAAGAAAACTAAGTACAGCTCTGACCTATATAAATGAAATTCAAAGATCATTTTAAGTCTTTTTAGCCATTAACTTATGCAATGATAAGCTTTCACAAGAATTATTAAAAAGCAATTTTTAAATTGTTTTGAGTTGTAGTTTTTCATCTTTTTTCTACTAGTCCTTCCATGAATTGGGTGGCAAAAAGCAAGAAAGAAAATAAGCAGTAAAAAGTAATTTTTGAACTTCCTCTGCTATCCCAATTGAGAATTCAGAAAAATACTTCAAAAATAACAAATACCAAAAATGTGTATTCATGCTTTCTCCAGTAATAAGAAAAATGTTTTTTACCTTAAATATTTATAAATGTTTATCGTTTCCTGAATGAACAAGTATGACACTTTAATGTATAGTAATTAAGTTGCTAATTAATTACTTAAGAATTTGTAAAATAAATATTAATGGTTTATATTTCATATTCATTTACATTAAAAGTAAACACTACTGCATGTTTCTCAGAATAGTAACTTTCTGAGTGAACCAGTGTATTTTAAAGATATCCTTTGAAAAGCTGTCCTTCTAAAGAATACACAATCATTTATGCTCCTGTTAGAAGACAGACAAGTAGTTATAGCTAATGTTCTTTGAGTGTTTAGTATGTTTTAAGCCCCATGTAAGCACTTCACATATTTTACTTCAGTTAACCCTTAAACAACCCTGTGAGGTGGATACTACTGTTTGTTTCTTTTAATAGATAAAGAGGTAGGTACAGAGAGAATAAATAAACTGCCTAATTAATAAGAGGGTGATCCAGAATTTCAATCTAGAAAGTTTAATTCCAGAGCTCTGGCTCTTAACCACTTTTGAGCAAGATTTTGGAGGTATCTGGACCATGTACAGATTCTTACTTTTTTTTCTGTGGCTTTGTCCCTCTGATTTCTCTAAACCCCAGCTTCCTCATCTCTGAAATAAGCAGTATAAAATATGCAGATATTTTATACTGCTTACTTCTTTGCATGCAAGGGTCACATACAAATTTTTGGTTCAGTAGTACTCTGTTCAATTAATTTCAAGTCCCCTAAGATAATGTCTTTTAACTCTCTTAGGTGTATGGAGATATCGAGTATTGCAGCATTATTAAGAATAAAGTCACTGGAGAAAGTAAAGGTTTGGGCTACGTACGATACTTAAAACCATCACAAGCTGCCCAAGCAATAGAAAACTGTGATCGAAGTAAGGATGTGTTTGTTTAACATTCTTAAAAACTTCTGTAAAAAATTCTGATTATTCTAAATAACTGAATTTAATACTGGTTTTTGCTAATAACCAGATCTGGTAATGTAATTTTAGTAGTAGGTATTTGAATACATGCAGTCCAAGGATGAAAAATACCTTGGGGCTATGATTAAACATTCATTGAGGCACTACCTTGAAATAAGAGCAACTACTTTAAGTTAGTGAAATGTATACTTTGGTTATTATTTGCAGAGGATTTGGGGTTTTTTTCATGTATTTTAGAATTTTAAGTATTAAAAATTGACTTACCTTTTCAGGGTTTTTAAAATATCTTTATATTTGTTTATATTTGATCTACACCCCAAAGAGTATACAGTATAACTAATAAACATATAGGTTAAAAATAAGATTTATAAGACGTGCTAACATAAGTAATTAATATAGCTAGGGTTAATTTCAAGCTAGTGTGACATGAATTTGATCTTCTGATGTTGCTGTATATATAAAGCATAAGAATTTTAAAGAAGTCATGGAGAACATTCTTTCTTGGTATACTTCTAGTTAAGTATATTGACCTTTAGAAATTAGATGTGGAATAATTAAATTACAGGATGTTAGGACATTATAAAAATCTATGTGTACTGGAAAGAATTACTGTTAATCAGTAGAATTCTTAGATATCCCTAAGGTACATACCAAAATTTTCTCTTAGATCCTTCTAAATTCTCATTTAGCTAGTACTAATTGAGTACCTGTGGTATACTCATCAGTATGCTAAGTGGAGGGATACAGATGAAGTATATGGCAGCCTTAGCATTTAAGGAATTTATAGCTATATTGAGTAGCCAAGATCTAATAGGCAAAAAAACAAATAAGGAATAATGGAAGAACTTTTTTTTGAAGGCTCTTTGAAAGCAAGAAGTATGTCTTTTTTGTCTGTCACTCCAAGTATCTAGTACAATATTAGGCCCTCAATAAAGATTTATTAAGCTCTCTATAAAAGTAACTGCCATTTGTAGTAGACTCAATAAGAATTTGCCAAATGAAAAAATGTTTGTAAGTATATGGTAGAGTCTATCAATGGTGAAAAACAAATGTGCTGGATGAGCATGGGAACACATGCGGAGAGGGTAGGACTTATGTCTGGTGTTGAGTAGGCAGGACAGAAGATGACAGCAGTGCTAGCAGAGGCACAAAGCCAGGAGTAAACATGTCTTGCTTAGTGCCATGAAGGCAGCTGTCTGAGTAAAGCACAGTATTTCTGTTGAGACATTTTGAGACACAGTTAACTAGGTACATTGGAACCATATATGGGAGGTTAAGGAAAGTTCAAGGTTAGTCCAGTTTAGGATTCTTTTGTAGATTGTTTAGAATGATTAAAGAAAGAACAGTTTAACCACACAGATTTCCAGAGAAGAATTCAAACTGGCTGACTTTATCCTTTTTTAAGCCACCGAATAATGTGAAGAAAACTGAACCCTCCATGTACACATAAATGCACAATAAGCATTTTGTTTAAAGTTTCAGAGGTTCCTGGAACCTTCCCACCTTTTGAAGCTCATCCTTGGGACACCTAGTTAAGAACCCTTGATCCAGAAGGAAAAAAACAGTTAAAGGACTGTTTTAATTAATTGAAGAGAATCTAGATTAAAAACAGAGGCAGGGAAGTTAGAGTGGAAGATAGCATATTCCGAGTGTGTGCATTTTAAAGGAAGAATCTTGGTGACAGGTTAAATATGAAGAAGCCCTGCAGGATTTTGATGTTGAGGAATTTAGGCAAATGAATGATGCTGTTATCTGTAATGGGGGAGATTGGAAGGGATAGCATAGGATTGTTGATCTTTCATGTCTACATTGATCCATAATTTGGGATACTTGCTATTTCTCATTTACTCTTTACTGTCTTCCAGAAAGCAAAGAAGTAGGTCTGGTGGAGATGGCCATTGTATACGTTTTACTTTGTACAATTATATTTATAAACCTGAGTCAGGCACTAGCAATCAAATATATTTGCAGGTATGTTAAGTTTGCTATGAAACTTGAAATTCATGGATTTCTTTCAGGTTTTAGAGCAATCTTGGCTGAACCTAAAAATAAAGCCTCTGAATCCTCTGAACAAGATTATTATAGTAATATGAGGCAAGAGGCTTTGGGACATGAACCTAGAGTAAATATGTTTCCATTTGGTAAGTAGGCTACCTTTACTTTAATAGTATAATGTAGTATATGCCATCTAATTTGGGTTTTAAAAAATACTCTGTTATTAGTCATCTAATAACACCTAGTGAATGAATATCTTATTCACTAAATTTCACCTAGTGAATAAATATCTTAAATGTAGCTCTTTATTTCTAAAAAGTGGCTTATAACTCCTAAGGTTCTTAATATTTAACACTTATTTTGTTTAACTGATTTCTAATTATAGTTTTCTCTGATTAGTTACTCATTCTCATATTATAAACTATTGCCACTGCCACATATCACTGTCACTTTTTAGGGTGAGCTTCTGCCTCTATGCAGCTGACCAAAAACTTAAAAAGACATATATAGGGGGCTGGGCGCGGTGGCTCAAGCCTGTAATCCCAGCACTTTGGGAGGCTGAGGCAGGTGGATCACGCGATCAAGAGATCGAGACCATCCTGGTCAACATGGTGAAACCCCGTCTCTACTAAAAAATACAAAAAATTAGCTGGGCATGGTGGCACGTGCCTGTAATCCCGGCTATTCAGGAGGCTGAGGCAGGAGAATTGCCTGAACCCAGGAGGCGGAGGTTGCAGTGAGCCGAGATCGCGCCATTGCACTCCAGCCTGGGTAACAAGAGTGAAACTCCGTCTCAAAAAAAAAAAAGACATATATAGATATCCTCTCAGTATGAGTCCTAAAAATTTGTCCCAGAACTACTGCTGCTTTAAAATTAGGGCTACAGAAAGGAGAGGAATGGCAAAAGTAGAAGAAGCTATAATAGAAAAAGGGAAAATGGGTGATGAAAGTGAGGCCTATGAATGTTAGTTGACATAAACTTTCAAGTAAAATTCTTGCTGTATTTTTCAGTTTTGCATACTAAACTTATTTCTGTGAAATTAGACTATGCATTTCTGCTTATATTTCTTCATTAAAGGTAGGGCAAGGGGGAAGAGTTGTTTGTTTTCTTGTCATTGGTCCCATCGGTAGTGCTGATGACCAGAAGCATACTACAAAATACAGGGCCTTTATTCAGTACAAAGGACTCTTTGTTTTCTAGTATTTAAGATGTTAAGTGAATTGTTGGCTATGTAGAAATCTAAAGATTTACTTTTTTTTATATTGTTGGAGAACAATCTGAATTTTCAAGTTTTGACAAGAATGACAGCCGAGGCCAGGAAGCAATCTCCAAACGCTTGTCAGTTGTATCAAGAGTTCCTTTCACTGAAGAACAGCTTTTCAGCATTTTTGATATAGTACCAGGATTGGAATATTGTGAAGTTCAACGAGATCCTTATTCAAATTATGGTAAGATAATGTTCATATTAAAATATATACATACACAGAGTTTTGTTAAAATGGCTTTTCTCTAGTAGGACTTTTATGTCAGATACTGCTCGTGTGACAGGAATTTTATCTTTCCTTTTTCCCTACTTTAGACTTCAAATTATGGTGATACCTTAATAAACAAAGCCCTGGAACTTATCTCCTTTTTACAAAATAGTTCACTGTAAAATATATTTTAACTCCCACAAAATATAACATTCTGTATTTCCAGTTGCACACCAAAAAAAAAATCCTCAGGATAGAGCCTCTGTCTCGATGTACTCTTTTGGTTAATGCTAGGCAAAGTTATGAAACTCACAGTGTTTTCTCCTCATTCATCCCTAGATGTCTTTCTCTTAAATTTGTACCCCTCATTCTCTTCATTCCAAGTATCTGAATGCCCTCCTTCTCTCTCTGCTTCTTCCAATTTCAGTGGAAGCAAGACTCACATATCAGCCATTTGAACTTATTAGTTAATTGATTAAACCCATTATCTAACATTAGCCAACCCATCTTTGTGTTTTAAGCTTTTGATTTTATTAAGGCTCTTTGTTAATGGAGGCATTGTGGCCTAATGGAAAAGTTTGGCATTCCATTTTGCATCAGAATCAGGTACAAATCCCAGCAGTGGCATGTAGCTTTTAGACCTTGGCAATTTGCTTATCCTCTCTGAGCCTCTCTTTCCTCATATGTAAAATGGGATCATTGATACCTTCTTTGCCAGGGTTAGGTAAGAATTAGAGGTAATATATGTAAAATAACCTCATTCAAGTTCTGGCATGTAATAGGGCACTCAGTAAATCTAAAGATTTTTTTTTTCTTTGTTAGCGAAGGGCGGTAGAGAGAAATCATACTTGGTTGGCATCTCTTCCTGTTTTGTAAGGATACTTAATTTAGTCCTTTTAGAGTGACATGGCTGTTATGTAGAAGTAGGAAAGTGAGTTTGGTCTTGTGGACCAACAGGACTAAGGTAACTCCCCCTTCATACAGACACACCTGGCACGTTTGTTATATGCATATGAAGTTGTGTTTGTTTCATTTTGATCCCTCGCTTTTATCTTGTATGTCGAAATGTATTTGTTCTTATACCTTCTGTTTTGTTTCTCTGGTTGGATGTGTCTGAAATATATGTGTCATTGGAACATCTTTTTATTAATAGAGGTGTCATCATATAGTTTGCATCCCATTTGAATTAACTTTATATGGTCATTTGATTTCTGTGTTTTATTTCATTAAATATTTTATTAAAATATTGGATGCTTGAGTTTCAGATGAATATAAATTATAAGTGTTTCCCCAGTGGTTTGTATTATAAATGTGAAAACCTTTTGGTTGTGTCACAAGCTCCTGGGCTCTCTAAGGAATGCATTGTAACATTGTCCCTCCCTTTAACATCACCCTCCTAAATTGGAATTTGTCCCTTTGATGGAAATCTCTGCAAAGGAATGTAAAATATGTGACTTGTGATCTGAGATCATCTGCTCTCTTTTTGTTTTTCATTCAAATCACTTTTACTTTCCCTACTGCTGCAGATAGCCAGGATGAGTATATATTCTTTTCAACTATCACTTCTCATTTTGTTCACTACACAGTATGGTTGGAAAATCTTGATATTTCAGAGTAGATTTCAAAGAATAAAAGTTTAGACTCATAAGTATATTGGTATCATATAAGAAAGCCAGTACCCTAAAATTGAATTTATTAGACAGAATGTATGTTAATATTCCATTTTCCTTAAAATTTCATGTTCATTTTTTCTCTAAGTCATTTCTTCCTTTTCTAGGAATATACCTGTTGCACACATTTATATCAGAATTGTGTTTTCTGATACATTTGATTCTATATTTACTAGTTGTGTGATGTTAGAGTTCTAAATGGTTTCATTTTTGAGCTATATTGTAACATAGGCCTTAGGCACTCAATCTGCTTTCCTTTTTCATTTCTATATATTTTCTATTTTAGGTCATGGAGTGGTTCAGTATTTTAATGTAGCATCAGCTATTTATGCAAAATACAAATTACATGGATTTCAGTACCCTCCTGGGAATCGAATAGGTGTTTCCTTCACTGATGATGGAAGTAATGCAACAGAGTAAGTACCATTCCAGGAGTGTCTAAAGCTGAGCTTTGAGTGTACATGATCGATAGGACTTGAAGAATAAAAATAGAAAACAGTTGACCTCTTAGGTGAGAAAATCACACAAAACAAGTTACTGTTAAAAGACTGAATATTTCTAGTTTTCTGTAAATTATCAGTTATTGTCTCCAGTCTCCTTAGAAAAATGGCAACACAGATGGTAGCTGCACAGCTTGCATCAGTGGTGTGGAATAACCCAAGTCAGCAACAATTTATGGTAAGTAGGTAAGAATTTAATCTTTGTAATATATCAATAGTCTATAAAATAAATATGAAGAAAAATCGTACTTTTTCGATTACCTGTATAAGAAAATTTTCAGAGCTGTAAAGGAAGACCACATAGATGCCATGATAAGTATCTGTCTTTAGCTCTTGGCCAAAAATCCCTAAAGGGCATTTTTTTCCTTTTCTTGTTTTCTACCTGTTAACAGCAATTTGGAGGAAGCTCTGGATCACAGTTGCCTCAAATCCAGACAGATGTTGTACTTCCATCATGTAAAAAAAAGGCCCCTCCTGAAACTCCTGTGAAAGAAAGACTTTTTATTGTGTTTAATCCTCATCCTTTACCTTTAGACGTATTAGAAGATATATTCTGGTAAGAAAGTTACAATTTTTATTATAACTTATTTATGCTAGTAATTTAAGTGTTCTCATAATCTAGAACCTTTCTTCGTCCCCTACTTTCTTCTATCAGGTAGAGAGGATTTGTTCTGTGGTTTTAAAAACTACTTTTAAAAATATATATATATATATTTTTTTTTTTTTATTGCATTTTAGGTTTTGGGGTACATGTGAAGAACATGCAAGAGTGTTATCTACATGGCAATATGGTTTGCTGCCTTCCTCCCCATCACCTATATCTGGCATGTCTCCCCATGTTATCCTTCCCCAACTCCCCACCCCTTGCTGTCCCTCCCCTAGTATAAACTACTTATTTATATCTTCTTTTTCAATTTCTGATCATTTTCTTCTCTTACTTATCAATCACATATCCTAAGGCTCCATATAGAATTTCCTGCTATTTTGTTTTGAAGACATAAAATGGGCCAGGCCCAGTGACTCATGCCTGTGATCCCAATATTTTGGGAGGCTGAGGTAGGGGGAATCACTTGAGCTGAGGAGTTCAAGACCAGCCTGGGCAAAATGGCAAAACCCCATCTCTACAAAAAATACAAGAATTAAACAAGCATGGTGGTACATGCCTGTGGTCCTAACTACTTCTCAGGATGTGGTGGCAGGATTGCTTTTACACGGGAGGTCGAGGTTGCAGTGAGCCTCCAGCCTGGGAGACCCTTTTTATTTGTGTGTGTGTGTGTGTGTGTGTGTGTGTGTGTGTGTGTGTTTTTAACTAAGCATCTTCTGTTTTGTTGGTGCATTGTTGTATCCTTAAGGGTTATAAAGTCGCATTGTGTAAAGGATACTTGAATGTAGGGAAAAATATATAAATGCTTTTTATTTAAAATAAAAGGAAGATCTGGCTGGCTCACATCTGTAATCCCAACACTTTGTGAGGCTGAGGCGGGCAGACACCTGAGGTTGGGAGTTTGAGACCAGCCTGACCAACATAGTGAAATCCCATCTCTACTGAAAATACAAAATTAGCCAGATGTAGTGGTACATGCCTGTAATCCCAGCTTACTCGGGAGGCTGAGGCAGGAGAATGGCTTGAACCTGGGTGGCAGAGGTTTCAGTGAGCTGAGATCACACCATTGTGCTCCAGCCTGGGCAACAAGAGCGAAACTCTGTCTCAAAAAAGAAGGGGGGGAAACTTCTTATTTTTGTGTTTTTAACATAACTTCTTTCTTCACTTTTTCTTTTAGGTCTTTTTCCCATTTGCCTTACAAGAAAGTTAGATAGGAAGCTTGTTAAAGAGCTGCACAAAATATCAGGAACATAATGTGGTCGTATATTAAGGCTCAAAAGGAAAAAAAAATCAGGGACATGATTCAAGTCTTTTTGACCGTTATTTAACTGATGTATTTAGTTTTTTTCTTGAACTTCCTCTTTGTGCAAGGCAGGAACTGTGTATGCTAAGTACAAGAGACATTATATAAGCAAAATATTAAATGGACAAGACTTTATAGTTCTTGTCCTCTTACAGCTGATCTCACGTAGGAAACAGATAACTAACTAGAAAATTATAACCCAGTGTGATTGGTGTGTGATAAGGAATGTGTGAAATTCATTGGAGGAGCAGTTACCTTAGAAACTCTGAGAAGCCTTGAAAGAATGAAGGTGTATGTGGAGACCTGAAGGATAAAAATAATTTTTCTACAGGTGAAAGCTGGTGGTATGCATGGTTATTTCTGCCATAGAGAATGTAAAAGAAGAGCTTTTAGATAGGGAATTTGAGAGTGTTAGGAAAGATGAAACTAAAGAATCCAAGGACTATGTCAGAAAGGCTCTTGAGCTATATTAAGGAATTTGTTGTCACCCTGGAGGCAGTGGGGAGCTGCTGAGGGGATTTTTAGGGAGTAAATGATCATATTTAGGTTTTAGAAAGATCACTCAGAAGACAGAGTAGAAAATGGATTGAAGAGGGCCAAGCCCAGTGGGTAAGGAAACTAGTGAAAAAAGAATTAGATTAAGGAAAAGATGATGGTCTGAATGAGAAGAGAGACCTGAAAGAATGAATAGAATTGACTGAGATGTTTAAGATTGACAACAGTTGGATGTCGGATCTGGGGAGAAGGGTGAAAAAGGAGTCAAGCATGGACTCCAAATTTTAGACCTGAGCAGCTGTATTTATCAATTTCAGTAGCTTATTTTTTCACTTTGTTTCAGCCGCTTTGGTAACCTGATCGAAGTTTACCTTGTGTCAGGAAAAAATGTGGGGTATGCCAAGTATGCTGATAGAGTAAGTGCAAATGATGCCATTGCCACTCTACATGGTAAGATTCTGAACGGGGTGAGACTTAAAGTTATGCTGGCAGATTCGCCAAGAGAAGAATCTAACAAACGGCAAAGAACTTACTGATTCTTGAGGTAAGCCTTTTTTAATCTGAATTTTAAAACATATTGATAAATAGTATAGCAAGAAGAATATGCATAAGTACTTTAATTATGGACTTTTCTTTTTAGTGATTTAGAAGTTGTCGGTTAAAAGAGCTTTGCAACTATTTAAACTTTAAAAATTGTTGACATTTACTAGAAGAATGTTTTTGCCCTTCTATCAAATAAAATTAGATTTCAATTTAGAAAGATAAATCAATGTTTTTTGTTTGTGAAATCTTAGATTTTAGGAATTTGACTTTTTTACTATGTGCTTACATAAACTTTTTAATTGTCCAATGCTAGAATATAGATTGCTTCAAAAAAAATTAAAATACTTCTAAAGATCTTTCACTTGAAGAATTTGTCTTGAGTTATGAATTGAGGTGATTTATGACAGTCTTTTATAAAGATAATGTTTTGACTTTTTTCTAATGAAATGTCTAAAAGGCAATATATAATATATCATTTTTGGACCTTCTGAACCTAACCGTTGGTGTTTTCTGGACTTATATTTGTGAGTTTGTACATTAAAACAATACATTCAGAAATTATTCTTGTGTGCATATATGTGTTTTTTAAGAAAACCTGACAATTTACCAAAAACTCTTTATCTACTGTAATTTACAATATGTACAGCCATATGAATTTCATTTCCTATTTTATTTATTAGTTTTCAAATATCAAACTATAATTTCTTTTCCTGTGACAATTAGTTTATATCTGTGTAGTTTGGGGAAACATTCTTTAAAGTTTGGCTTTTTTTATTCTGTAAAATAATTCTGAATTTCAGGGGAAGCTGTTTTCCTGTTCCCACAAACCAGCTTTCTAGGTGTATAATAGGTCAAATGTAGTAGATGGCAAGCACTTTGAATTTAGTTGAAGTTATTGGCTTGAAACTTTTATTTTTTTCACTTAAGATTTTCTTTCTGACCAATTATGTGAGCTAGCACATATGAAAATGAATCCTACCAGGCCTCACTTCTGATGACCTTTCCTTTACTAGGACAGGTCATGTGATTAGTCCCTCCTTCATAGAAGGCATTTGACAAGAGAAAGTGCCCACTGGACACATTACATATAATTCTAATTTTTTTTTTTTTGAGACGGAGTTTCGCTGTTGTTACCCAGACTGGAGTGCAATGGCACGATCTTGGCTCACCACAACCTCCGCCTCCTGGGTTAAAGCAATTTTCCTGCCTCAGCCTCCTGAGTAGCTGGGACTACAGGCGTGCACCACCATGCCCAGCTAATTTTTGTATTTTTAGTAGAGACGGGGTTTCATCTTGTTGACCAGGATGGTCTCAATCTCTTGACCTCGTGATCCACCTGCCTTGGCCTCCCAAAGTGCTGGGATTATAGGTGTGAGCCACCACACCCAGCCATAATTCTAATTTTTAAATGTTTTTAAATGTTTTATTAAGTGACAAAACCAGTCTCATTGTACCATACATTGTTAGCAGTTTAATCCTGGAAATATTAAATTGCCAGTGAAAAAGAATTAGCAAGCATTTTTTCATGTTTATGAATAAAATGTTAAGAATGAATTCTATTTGGACAAGCTATTCTCTAGCATGCAAAAAAAAAGGTGTTTATTCCATCTGTGAATATTTCAACAAAAGGAAAGAAACAGTTCTTGTTTTAACTCAATAAATCTTTATCCTTAAAAAGGAAAATAATATAGACTTCTCAGTATAGAATAGTATATAAATTACTCTTATGGTTGAACCTTTTCTAATGAGTATTTACATGTTAAAGAGAATATTGGGCTTAAAATAAAAAGCCATCTAACTGTGACTGGGCTGGTGTCTGTGGCTTTTTTATTAAAAACGCATAATCTCTCTCTGTCACCCAGGCTGGAGTGCAGTGGCCTAATCTGGGCTTACTGCTACTTCTACCTCCTGGGCTCAAGCAGTCCTCCCACCTCAGCATCCCAAGTAGCTGCGACTACAGGCATGTGCCACCATGCCCGGCTAATTATTACTATTTTGTGCTTTTGGTAGAGTCAGGGTTTTGCCATGTTTCCCAGGCTGGTTTTGAACTCCTGAGCTCAAGCCATCTGCCTTTCTCAGCCTCCCAAAGTGCTGGGATTACATGCGTGAACCACTGCACCTGACCCTCTTTGCCTTTTTGAGTCCCAGTTTTCTGATAGGGCTGTTGAGAGACGAGTCAACAAAACTTGTAAAACGAAAAAAGGCTTTTCAGGTCTAAGCTAAAACTCTTACATTTGTAGCTTCAGTGAAACCTTTGAGATGTCCTTTTATCTAAAATAATGACATCCAAATGATCAGAAACTAAAAGTATAATGATATAAAACTACCTCATGGCCAGCTGGTACTGTGAGAACTAAGCTTTATAATACCACATTTTCCCCTAAAACTCATCCAATTTCCTACATTAGAGGAACTGCATATTCAGCATGGCTGTTCATAAAAATGTTAATCTATCATGTTTCCCTTTTTTGAACTGTTACACATATTCAGGGCAGAGATAAAGTAGGGTCAGGTTAACTGAAATGGTTATTTGGATAGGATACGATTAGCTACACGGTTTTGAATTTCTTCTAATTGCAGCATGGCTTTTTAAAAATTTTTGCTGCGGATCATCTATTTACAATGGACTCCATTATGAGCTTCTTCTTTGTTGGTGTATTAAATAAATATATTATCTTATTTTAAGGTTCGATAAAATACTGTGGAAGACTTTCCCAAATTTTATATGGTTGTGACAAGTTTTTTTGGGTAGGTGCACCTTTTTATTTGTTTCATTAATTTTTAAGAGGCTACAGACACAGCTCATGAAGGCTAGTTTATTTCGTCTCTGAGGTATGGGCCTGGTATTGAATGATTCATGCCTAGGAAATAGAAGAACTAATCTTCGGATATAACTTTGAAAGTAGTTGAGTTCTATTTCGAGATGGGTCTGATAACCACAATGTAATTGTCTATTTGAGGAAAATAGAAATTTTAGTATTTCAGAGCATTGGATTTTTTATTAATTCACAACATTTTCCCTCTAGAAATTCAGTACCTGCATCATGCTTCTGAGTAAGTTTGGTTTTATTTGGGGGTGGCTCTGATTAAGCAGATAACATTGGGTATATTGAAATAAAGGAACAATTCCTAAAATTTTAGGAATACTACAACAGCTGTTTCCTTTCAGGTGATGATTTTCATACTTGTGTTGTGTTCTTTCTACAGAACAAAGACTAAATAATGACATAATCCTCAGCTGACTGACTGAAAATGTGACTGGACGCATTCCCTGTGGACAGTTGACAGCTTTTTTTTTTCATATACCTGATAGTCTGTGTACAGCATTGTTTTGTCTGGGAAGCAGGGATTGCTGACATGTATTTTTGAATCCATACATTAATGCTAAAATGAACATAGTAGTTGTTCCTTAGAGCAATATGTTGTTACGTGTAGCAGAAATAAAGTTTTCTTTGCTTAACTAAATCATGACTTATTTATGTGAAAGACAAGAATAGAAAAATTTAATAGGCAGTCTTTAGAACTTGACTAAATGACATATTTCATTTATTTTGAGATGCACATCTTTCACATTTTAACACCTCTGGAAGTGGAAGCATCTCGATATAAATTGTATGGCATAGTGTAATTGATAACCTTTTTTTCTTCCTTAGTAAAACAAGAAAATGTGCTTTTTTCAGTCGCTTCTTAGAGTCAACAAAATATGGTAACTGCTACTCAATCTATACATCCAGGTTAACTGTTTACACTTAATCTAAGAACAAAAGACAAATCATTAGAAATATTTTATACTGGTTTTTTTTTTTTTAGTTATAACAAAATGTGTTGGTAATTTTGTAAAGCTGTTTTAAGATTACTAAGCAACAGTATTAAAAAAATTAAAACTTGTTGATAATAAATTTAAATAAATCTCAGTGGCTTTGGGAAATGGACATTTTTATCTTTATAGAAATAATGGCCACTCCAAAAATATGACATGTAAGGAATTTTCAAAACAGACTACAATAGGAGGTATAGTCATTTTGAAATTAAAGATTAAAAATTAGGGCCAGGGGTGGTGGCTCACCACACCTATAATCCTGTCACTTTAGGAGGCTGAGGCAGGAGGATTGCTTGAACCCTAGAGTTCAAGAAGAGATCAGCCTAGGCAGCACAGGGGACCCGCTCTCTAAAAAAATACAAAATTAGCCAGGCGTGGTGGCATGTGACTGTAATCTCAGCTACTGAGAAGGCTGAGGTGGCAGGATTGCTTGAGCCTCGAAGACAGGCTTCAGTGAGCCACAATAGTACTGCTCCAGCCTGGACGACAAAGTGAGACCCTGTCCTAAAAATAAAAACTAAAGATTAATAATTAGGAATCTATTCTGCTTGTATTTTAAAACTTTAACCAAAAAATGTTATTAGCTCTGTGGTTGGATTATATGTATCAAAAAGATGTATCTAAATCAAGCACTTGGCACTTTTTATAAAAAGGTATTATAAATGTTAAACATTTGTTCAAACACAATTATCTTCTCATTATACCTCTCACCTCCTGACTCAAACTAATAACGATAAAAGATTAAATTCAACAATCTTGACCTGACACAGTGGCACACACCTGTAATCCCAGCACTTTGGGAGGCTGAGGCAGGTGGATCGTGAAGTCAGGAGATTGAGACCATCCTGGCCACCATGGTGAAACCCCATCTCTACTAAAAATACAGAAATTAGCTGGGTGTGGGGGTTTGTGCCTATAATCCCAGCTACTTAGGAGGCTGAGACAGGAAATCACTTGAACCCGGGAGGTGGAGGCTGCAGTAAGCCCGGATTGCACCACCGCACTCCAACCTGGGCGACAGTGAGATTCTTATCTCAAAAAAATAAATAAATAAAATAAAAATAAATTCAGCAGTCTTTAATAGAGTATCTTATACTTGGACATCTCCATTGGAAAACTAAAATCCTTTCTTTTAAAAGTCAGTGATTGGCTGGGTGCAGTGGCTCACATGTATAATCCCAGCACTTTGGGAAGCCGAGGCTGGCGGATCATGAGGTCAGGAGTTCAAGACCAACCTGGCCAACACAGTGAAACCCTTCTCTACTAAAATTACAAAAATTAGCAGGGCATGGTGGCATGTCCCTGTAATCCCAGCTACTTGGGAGGCAGGAGAATTGAAGTCAGGAAGCGGAGGTTGCAGTGAGCTATCGCGCCATTGCAATTCAGCCTGGGTGACAGTCTTGTCTCAAAAAAAAAGTCAGTGATTTTAGCAAATTTAGATAAGAAACTGTCATCTTCACAGGCAAAACTGCTGACAAGAATTGGACCAGCTATCTTTCTGTAAGCCAGAGGATGTATTTTAAAAACAAAGCAAAGCTGGGTACAGTGGCAAGTGCCTGTAGTCCTAGCTACTCAGGAGACTGAGGCAATAGGAGTGCCTGAGCCCAGGAGTTCAAGGCTGCAATGTGCTGTTATTGTACCTGTGAATAGTACAATAGTACTATAGTACACAGTCTTCCATTTCTTTGTTTTTGATTTTTTTTAAAAGCAATGAAAAACCTAAGTGAGGGGAGTTGTAGATTAATTGCCAAAAAATAGGTATAATTATACCCAAACTCATTTACTGTACATATGGTTCAGTTTTCACATATTGGGATTAAATTGTTCCTTACAAGTCATTGGGCTGTGTCATGTAAGTAATGCTTGAATTACCTCAAAAATGTTTCTGCCAGGTGGTTAATCTAAACAGTGTAAAAGTAACAGTTATAGGAAGGAGCTCTCTACCTCCTACCTGAGTCTACTGCATCTCTGGTTAATCTTCACAATTGAGACAAAATCTTATTTCCTACAATTTTCCCCTATTAAAGTATTTCACTGGGTTTTCTAGGAGAAATTGAATCTGTCACATGTTAGCTATCATATTCCTGGCCAGCCCTCCACGTTCTCTGTTCAGATTAAACGATCCTGGTTTCTCCCTTCTACAAGTCAGGCAGCCAGTCCCAGCAACTGTGGTAAGAGTAAGGGACCTTATCTAGGTGTATTTCTTTGAATCCTAATCTAAATTCTAAAAAGATCGTATGATACCTCTCTACCTGCAAAACACTTTGCGTTTTCAGTACAACCTGTTTTGTTTTCCTTCCCAGGTGCATGTCTCAGTAAACAATGCTTAGTTCATCTTCCGTGTGCATTTCGTCTTAATCCTCTCAGTTATTTAGCTTTGGTCCTGTCTTCCTGTCTTTTGCAATTGATCCCTAAAGCTGTATTTTAGAAGCTAGAATTTCAGATTTTTCTTAGAATGAGGAAATTCTAGAACCTAAAAATAGCATTTAGTAATCTAGTTGTTTATGTCTTCACCTTAATGTTCACTTCTCAGGACACTTTGAATGTGAGAACATAATATATAAATATTTAGATGCTCAGCGAATGTTAAGTTATTAAAACTGCTAACAGTGTTTTATTAGTATATATTTATTTTTAAAAAATTTAAATAATAAGCAGTACAGCTCAATAAACCTCTCAAGTATGTAGTTAAAATAAGAAATAACATTTAAAATAAGCCTGATCAAAGCCTTCTCGTAAATTCATCAACTGAGGTCTTGTATGGCAGGTTACAGGTACTGAAAACAACTGTCAAATTTGCTGCTTCTAAATCAACATGTTCCAAACTATGTTCCTTGGAATACTAGAAAGAATTTTTCATGGTTAAATACATTTAGAAAATGTTTGGTATTTTTGGTTCCACATATTTAATCTACTATAGACAAAAAGGTAGGGAAAATACCCAGGAAATTATTGGTCTAAAATTTTAGCTTTCTCTCAATTTTATTCTCTCTCAATTGGGATCCTATTCAGTATGAATGAAGCCATAGAGAACAGAAATAAGGGACTTTACCACTAGGTGGTGGTAAACATTTAAGGCCCTGAGATGGAAATGAAATGATAGTGTTTGAAATGCCTAAAACTGTGCTTTTCTTGAGGAATATTACTCTTACTGCACAAGCTGGAGTGCAATGGTGCGGTCTCTGCTCACTGCAAACCCCTCCTCCCAGATTCGAGCAATTCTCCTGCCTCAGCCTCCTGAGTAGCTAGGATTACAGGCATGCGTCACCACACCAGATAATTTTATCTTTTTAGTAGAGACGGGGTTTCTCCATGTTGGTCAGGCTGGTCTGGATCTCCTGACCTCTGGTGATCTGCCCGCCTCGGCCTCCCAAATTTCTGGGATCACAGGCATGAGCCACTGCGCCCAGCCAAAACTGTGGTTCTTTTTTTTTTTTTTTTTTTTTTTTGCGACAGAGTTTCGCTCTTGTTACCGAGGCTGGAGTGCAATGGCGCGATCTCGGCTCACCACAACCTCCACCCCCTGGGTTCTGGCAATTCTCCTGCCTCAGCCTCCCGAGTAGCTGGGATTACAGGCACACGCCATCCTGCCCAGCTAATTTTTTTATATTTTTAGTAGAGACTGGGGTTTCACCATGTTGACCAGGATGGTCTCGATCTCTTGACCTCGTGATCCACCCGCCTCATCCTCCCAAAGTGCTGGGATTACAGGCTTGAGCCACTTCACCCGGCCAGCTGTGGTTCTTAAACTTTGGCGTCCACAGGAATCACCCTGAGTGTTTGTTTAAAATATAGGTATACTGGTTCTGTAGTTTTGGGGTGAGTTTTTGAACAAGCTGTGGTTATGATGGGATAGTCAGTGGCATTCACTTTGGAATATACTGGCCTAAAGAGGTTTCATATGTTGGACCTTAGGTTGGACTGTTGTAAAAGTAAGGCATCGAGAAGTTGTTTCTTAGTCTTTTTACCTTGGGCATTTTTTAGAATTATGCATCTGGTTTTTCCTGAGTTTAATATCAGTAAATATGAATTGCATTAAGAAATTGAAAAACACAGCCTCATAAATAACAAGTAATAGGCCAGCATTTTTATTGATGTTCATAAGGGATGGTAATTGTTTATGCCATTCAAAGCTTTTACCTAACATTTTTTATTTACATTTATTTTTAAGCGAGTTGTTTAAAAAAATTACCAAAGATTGGGGCTCTGAAGAAGTACATAGGTACATGTTATTTGTTTTAAATGTCAAAGGAGTATGAAGGAGATGTAATTATCATTTTCTAAAAAACTGAAATAGAATAATCAAAAGGGTACAGAAATACCTCTATATTTATGTGTGTTCTTACAGTCCTAAGGTGAACCTTCTTGTAAAATGATCGCTTTTTTGATTTATAGGTACTTTTTAACTTTCAGTGACTTTAATAAATACTAAAACTAAAAATCAGTGAGAGCAAAAACAAGTGAAATCTATTGCCTTTTCACCTAGAGGTATAGCCACACACAGGCTTTGTTCCATATGTGGATGGTAAGTGCTATTAAAAATCAGGGCAATTACTTTTACATATGATTTCAGTAAAGAGAATACCAAAAAGGTCATCCTTATTAGATAAGAAGTTCCATTTTAATACCTGAATTCTAATAAATG